AACATCTCTTGAATTTTTTTTGCCTGAACTGAAAGCCTGTGTGTTTTTTTTAAAACCAGTGTTTATTCTATGTAGTCAGTACATTTCAACTTCCTGACGCTAACAAAACATTCCAAATTGTCTTCAAGGGTTGGTCTGTGTACATGTTATAGTAGTTAAATCTGGATACAGGCCTGCCCACATTTAATCGTGCCTTGGTATTATCTCCATCCAGGAAGGGCACAGGGACTAAACGGCTGCTGTGTGGATGATTCTGTGCATCTTCCACCCAGTAAGCATGCTTCGTAGCTCTTCCTTTGGTAGGAAATTGAACAACTAATTCACTATGAGCTTTACTGTGTAATCTTCTGTTTCCCGGGGGGGGTATTTAGGCGGTATGCTTAAAGCTTCCGAAGAACTCCAGACTTAAGCAAAAGCACGCAGAGTTTGGAACAGGAGCATCTGCATGTTTGAGATGCTCCTTCTTCCTTTCACAAACAGCTTTTGGGACCTCCCCTTCTTGTTCCTTTACATTACAAAATGTTTGCTGAAATTGCCCTGAAATTCTTAACAATACAAATAAAAATAAAATGTTGAGCCTTCTTGGTCCACAGTAGGGAATGTTGTTGCTTTATCTTCAAGACCTGGAGAAATGAATGAGAAGAATGTGACTCTAACAAGATCTAGATTGGGGCAGGGTGGAATTGTATTTCATCAGATTTATTTGACTTATACGCCACCTTCCTTCATAGGCGTTTAGGCAGTTAACAATCTATAGGCCCCGTTTTTATATTTCTTACCCCTGGTCAGTAGCTGAAGTGTGTTTTTGGTGTCCACAGGTCCATCACGTTGGTACAAAGGCCTTGTATTTTGTTTACTTTTTGCTCTGTTTTTGAATTTCTGATTCTTGCCCTCTAAGGAAAGGCTATTAAAAGCTCTTCTATTCTCTTTTGCCTCCCTACTTTTACCTACAGGAAGTCTTTCATTAACCATTCCCTGGTGTTAAGCTCAACGCATGCCTCCCTACTTTTACCTGCGGGAAGTCTTTCATTAACCATTCCCTGGTGTGGCAGCCTTTATACTTGGCAGCTTAACAAAATCTATAAATAAGACCATTTCTCTTTTTTTGTATAGAGATGTTACAGTGGCCTTCAGCACTTCTGACTTTGAGGTGGAAAGGGGCTTCATGCTGGGGTCTAGAATGGAGGAGACAGGGCACAATATTAAAACTGTCAGCAAAACATATGTAAAAGACAAAAACACTCAAATTCCAATCCATGTTTACAAAATAGGGTGCGACTCAGGAGAAAGTCTCCTTTCCCAGATTGCAATATTTTATTGCAATGTTTTATTTTTTAAATCTGCTATTTTGAAAATAAAATAATATCAAGTTATAACTATAACAAACAGAAGCCCTCAATAGCAGAAGCATCTTGGGAGTCCCTATAGCCTAATAAATCCTAAGAAGCAGCAACAGAACACTTATGGAGAGTTTTTAAAAGAGAATAAATCTAGACACCCTAGAGATCTGAGGTGGGCTTCATCTGATCATTCAAACCCATCAAAGACAGGCGGAGAGCCTTCCATATTAGTGACGCTGTCCCAGCGCGGTTCTCTTTTGTAAAGCCCTATTTTTAATTACTCATCACTGTGGGTCACAGAGCATGACCTCTATCTTAAAGCAGAATTTTCTGAGGAGCCACTCCCACAGATAGTGTGGGCCCAGGCTGTGTAATTGCCCAAACCTCATTAAGAGACCTAACCACGAGTGTCTGTCGGAGCTTCATGATGCTCTTGATTCTGATCCATTGCCAGACTTGGAACCCTGCCCTCCTTCTCAAATTTAGAGATGGCTGTTGAGAGGTTTTCTGATCCCCCTTCCTTTAATCTGCATTTTTAGGTTCTTTATTTTCAGTTTGTTATTTCCATGCTATGCTCACTGAGCTCATCTGGAAACTAGGCACGGTCAGACCTTGTTAGCAACGGAGCAGGAGATGATGAGAGAGCTCCAGGTAGGGAAAAGAAAGAATTCTGTCCAAATCCTGGGTAGTCATGCTGTCCTTCGGTACTGGGCTAGACGGAGCAAGGGTATGGTTCAAATATAATCCTGTTGGCCAGCCATGAAAGTCTAGGTAGATGATGTTGTGACATGTGCATAAACATTATGAGGCTATTTTTCACAGCATCCTGCACCAAGAGACAGTGAGCGTTGTCCTGTTGACCAACACTGGTGACAGATGAAAACTGTAGGCATGAACACATGTTATGGCTGATAAGCTTCCTGCTTCTCTTCCAGGAGCCTGGGCCGGCAAAGATGGCTGTGACCAGCAGCAACATCCCCAGTGCGGAAAAGGTCCCGACCACCAAGTCAACCCTTTGGCAGGAAGAAATGAGAGGCAAAGACCAACCGGATGGAAACGGTGGCCTTAGCCCAGCCCCCAGCCCTGTGCAAGGCCAGGCTCCGTCAGCCTGCTCTCTGAAGGAACTGGCATTGGAAAGCAAAGAAGGTAAAGCTTGACTCGTGGACTCTAGTTGACCTAAGTCCCGCCAGGTTGCAGAAGATCTGAGATCCACAGAGTTTCTGGAGATGGGGTGAATTGGCAGCCCT